GACAGCCTCGGTGGTGGGTAACTTTTGTTCTCGGACTTTGAATTTTGCTTGTTGGCCTCGTCGAAGAACAGCTTCAGCTCCCTTCCATTGCACTGTTGAGTTGACGAAGAGAGGGCGATAGGCTATTGGAACAGTCAGCCTTTGGCGCAAAGAAAAGATATGAGCACGCACACTCTGTGACGATGATCTCCTCCGGATCTGCAGTGAGATTGGCTGCAAGGTCTGTAGGAGCTGTAAAATGGTGAGTAAACAGTTAGCAAGGACAAAGACATGTACCAGAACCAGTTCCTACGTTGATAGGAGCAGGGTTGAAGGCTCCAAGACCAGCCTGGTAGTTTGGTGCAATACCAGGAGGCATGTTGACAAATTGGCGCGCCATATAGTCGTAGTAGGGACGAGCATAGCCCAGAGTTGGAGCGACAACAAGTTCATGGAAGGCTGTCCCTTGTTGGAGGTTGTTTGGTTCGAGCCAGGTACGTGGTGCATCGCGAGGCGGAGGTGAAGACGAGTCGCGAGGCGGAGACGAAGGAGGAAGGCCAGAGTCGCTCATAGTGAAGGTAGTTGAGTGGATGAGTGCGTCCTTGAGGCCTATATATGACTGTAGCGCAAAACAAACTCTCAATTTGTGGCCTGTCTGTGCCTTTGTTGCCCAACTTTCGAAGACGGTTCCTACGCTGGGGATGTCGGTGTAGTCTCTTTCTCTCTCCATCTGGGTAAATTGGAAGCTTCTGGGATGGGAGGCGCATCGGTTGGAGGGGACTACATGGCGGTCGAAGGTGAAGGGAGCTCTGCCAGCAACTGCCGCCTTCCGCCGCGCCGGCCATCAGGCACGTGCGGCTGAGAAACTTTTTGACATTTTCACGAAATTATGCAAACGGCTGTACTGTGGCAGTTCTATTGAATCAAATTGACTTGTGCACATTTCGGTGCCAGTCCATAGGGACACTTCCAGGACCTGAATTCTCAGTTTATACTCACCATTCAAAGTCCATAATTGACTTACAAAAACAGTATTAGGGTTATTTCTCAGTGACTTCTGGTTCGATGATGATGGTTCTTATATGGTCAGAAAGGTCTTTGAAGGGGCTATAAATATGTTCCATACAAATTTCTTGACTTTTGTTAGTATGTACTATGGCAGTTGTATTGATTCTGGTGCTTTGTGGAAATATAATAGGGCTATATTTCAACAGGATCTCAATGATTATCATATGGCTGGAAAGGGAGTCAGAAGGCCCACAAATATATATTCAACTAAAATCTGTACTACTGCTGCATTGACTCAAATTAACTTGGGTAGATACTAGAGTCTTTCCAGACAGTATTAGGGCTGTATCTCCCAGCTAAGGATGGCTCCGGATCCTCTATGATTGGAAAGGGAGTTCCAGGGGCTACAAATGATTCTTCTACTCAAGATAGGTTTGTGTTAGCGGTAGCGGGGAAGAGCGGACGCGCGGTGATTAAGGCATGTGATTGCGGGACCGGCCGGAGCCCGGGTTAGGGCTGTGCCGGAGTGGCGTATATATAGTGCGGTCCGCGTGCCTGTCGGGCACGCTTTTATCTCCCTTCGTTCCCTTTGTACCCTCGGGTAGTGGTTAAGCTATTCGTCTGTGGCACTCGATCGGGAGCGTGCGGCCTGGTTAATAAGCGCCGATTTCTGACAGTTTGACACAAATCTATCAACTTTTACTACCTCTATGGAGGCTTAGCAGGTGCATTAAGAACCTACACAAGGCCACCTGCTACAGGTTACTTATCAACCTGGCTAGGTGCTTTATCTGGTGGGAAGCCAACCTACCGGGTGGGTGGAAACTTGAAACTTACCTAAATCGGCCGAATCTAACCTACCCTCCCAAGTATGTGGTTAGTAGAAAGATAACCTACCATAGGTTGTTTTAGTTCACTTGTTTAGGTGGTTTCATAGGCTACTTTTTGATACTTATTGGCTCATGAATTTGCCTGGTTTACATTTTAGTCGATATGTGAGTGGATAGGCTTTGGCATACTTGGAAAGGGAATTCAGAGACATCTGACTGAAAATATGTTGAATTCACTTTGACACAATACAGTATAGTTTTGAAATGCTTTGAATCTGTCTTTGACTCAAATTTGACTCAAATTTGACTTGTGTATATTGGCTTCCCATACAGATCGACACAATATTCTAGAACTATATTCGGCCACATCGGCTGTGCCCTTTGGCCGAGTTTGGGCCGGATCGGTGCGGCCGCCGGCGAGAACGCCTCGGCGCGGCGCCTCAGCAGCGCGCCGAGAGATGCGCGCGGGAGAGCGCCCTCAGCCGTGCGGAACAACCGCTGCACCGTTCTGCCTGAGAGTTCATCGGCGGCTGGGGGAATGCTACCCCTGCCTCTGGTGAAAATTGCAGGCACATCGGAGCAGCGGGCCTTCCGCTGGCGGCCTCGAGTTTCGCGCTACCGTAGTTGGCGAGCGCAGGGCCAATCGCTTGTCCGTTTCCCTTCGGGAGCTGTAGGAACTCGAACGCTACGCTGGCGCTATCTGCGCTGAAGATATCAGCTAGAACGGTCAAGAACTGAGCCCGGCGCTCACCGATTTCGCGGAGAACGCCGTCAACGGCGACGACGCCCGACGGAGCGCGCCGTAGAGCGCCGGGAGGAGGCGAAAGGGTCGGCAGCGTCTTCCTTGACATGACCGACGCGCACCGGGGCCAACCCGGACCGAAACGGCCAAGAATTGGCCAAAATCGCGCCTGGTGTTGGCCCGAATCCAGCGGGCGGATCGCCGCCCAAGTCCACTCGAATGCCCAGGGCGTCGCGCGCAAGGTGGCGCTTTTTTCAGTTGTGAGTGTATCTTTGTGGTTGCCGAGTATGCTGACCAGAGCAAGCTTTGGCCGTCTAGGCTGCGAAGAGGACGGTGGGAACGACGGAAATGGACGCCAGGAGGTGTGCTGGGCGTTGGCTGGGCGGCCTGGGCAAGTGCAGAGGCCTGCGCGCGTAACAGGGTGAATGTCTGGACATTCTACATGTCCGGTCAATGTGCCGTTGCGCATTCATTCAGCGGACCCGAAATAGGGACCCGAACAAGGCTCCGAACAAGTACCCATCGGGGGGTGTCACATAGCAGCGCTTCTTCTTCTTGACCACCATCCGCCCCTCAGCTTCCCCCCCCTCCCATCTCCCCTCCGCCTCCACTGGCAACCACCACGACCATGACCACGACAGGAGCCTCCCCTCATGAAGGCCATCGCAAGTACCCCACCACATTGTGCCCGACGCGGTCTGGCCCCGCCGTCCTTTGGATTGAGGGAGCGCCGGCGAGCACCGTGACTTGCTATCCCGTCCAATAAGGCTTGAGAAGCGTAGGTTGTCATTCTTCTATCGCCCTTTCTCTGATGGGGTTGCAGGAATTTCCGAATTCATTGAATGGAGACGCTGCGAAGATCCAGCCCGGTTTGGCCAACGCGGCAGCTTCCGGCTTTCACCACCAAGCTGCGATCGGACCTCGATCGGTATCGTTTCATCCAAGTCACGTGTGTTTATCATGCTTACGAGTGTCGCAGTCCTGGTTTAAACTGTTCAACGTTGTTGAACATAACTTCTTTCAAGTTCGAGTGGCGGTATGTTTCAGTTGCTAGAACATGTATGATAATCATCGCTGATGTGTGTTTAACCAGTTCCATGTGTTTTGTTCCGGTTTCAAATGGTAAGTCAGCCTGATTAATTTGTTTATGTTTAACTGACATGTTTAACAGAATTTTAGGGTAGTAGTTTAATAGTAGTTTAATAGTAGTACATGTTGTATTCATTAGCAATGTTAAACATGATTTACCATGATTATACTGGATTGTTTATCAATCCTTGTAGGGTTACACCACCAACCCGTCGGCACACTGACCCGATGTCTGTCCTGGATGTCGACAGGATGAAGCCGCCGATCTCGGGCAAATATTAGCCCGAGATCATTCAGAAGTCAGTCAGGAAATATTGGATGGGTATCATTTGAGCTTTGCTTGAGACGTTGCCAAGAAGATCAGGGCAATGTCATGGTGTGATGTTGCGTTGCAGTACCGGAATCCACTCCACATCAAGTGATGGAAAATTTTCGTTGTCAGGCTGCGATGTCACAGTCACTCAGCCTCACTTCTCTTCTCTTTTCCCCCATCTTCTTCGCTCGACGCTGACTGCCTTCCTCTAGACCCCTCCTCCTCTGTGGTGCCGCTGGTGCGTATGCTTGTGCCTGCCTTCCAACACCACTGACCACACATTCTCTGGCTAGCCCTCCCCGATGGTCCTACCGGCATATAGGTATTGACGACCTTCTTCATGCCCACTGTCTTCCTCCTTTTGTGGTGCGCTGTCCCTGCTCGCTCTCTGCCCGCTCTCTGCCCTTTTGCTGACTATGTTTCTTCAGAATTGCTGTGCAATGGTCTCCACATAGCCATGTCCGCCATCTCCCATGTCGTCGTTTACCTCCCTGCCTGCTTTCCAGAGCTGGTATTCTTTCCCCGTAAGTTATGACTGCCCGGGCCATCCTCCACACTGACTCTCGTCTTAGCCTTCCACATCAGGCATCCTTCCCTTCCCGTCTCTTGCTGCCCCACGGCCCCCACCCACCTGTTCCTTGCCGCCAGCATTGGTGTGGCTATCCGGTGCCTGCTGCTGGTGATGGCAATGGATGGGAGGGACAGGAACCCACTCTGCGCTAGAATGCAATGGATGGTTGGCGTGCTAGTGGTCGGTGGTGCATGTGTAGTTTTTTTTTTTGTATATATAGCTACCTACTACAGTGCAATAAACTATTTTCCTATTCTCTTGATGTGTGAGCTATGGGTCCCATCTGCTGCAGCTGGAAAGCGCCGGCTAAATTCTCACTGCTCTTGGTCCTATGCTAGTCTGGGTCAGGATGTCCTCCTGATATACCTGGTCAGCCAAACATCAGGAAGATATGCTCATTCAATTTCTTTTTGACATCACGCAAATCCGTCACCAACATCACAACTCAACGTCGGGTGATGTTCCAGGATGACATCGGCAATATGTCACGACGGGTTGGTGGTGTACTGCATTCGCTCTCTCGTGCACATCTACTTCCAGCGAGTCAACCCCCTTTTCGGCATCCTGCACCAAAGCAGATTCGAAAACGCCCTGCAGGATGGCGCGCATTTCAACGACCGACAATTTGGCGCGCTCGTCCTGGCAGTGTGCTGCGTCGCCAGCCGGTGCTCGGACGACCCTCGTGTGCTCACAGAGGAGGCGGATGGGGACGAGCATAGCTGTGGCTGGGGATGGTACAAGCAAATTCGCCCGTTGCGAGCCACGTTTTCGCTCGTCCCTTCGTTGGCGCAGCTACAAACCCTTGCCGTCTGTGTCATCTTCCGCACGCTGAATGTGAATACTGATTCCGTGAGGCTAGCTCTGTTTGCTCTATATGGTGGGCACATCGAATCCGGAAGAAGGCTGGCTTGTCGTTGGCATGGGCATCCGTTTCTGCCAAGCGGCAGGCGGGCATCTCCAGGAACTCAGGTCAAAGCTTGGTCCCATTGAGGCAGAGCTCTACAAGCGCCTCTACTGGCTATTCGTGGCCTCGGATGTGTTGATGGGCATCAGCAAGGGCCGCCCAAGCAGCGCGCGACTCGTCGAGTGAGCGCAGAGCTGCCTCTCATTGTGTGCTCACGGTAGCAATGGCAGCATGGACCTCGAACTGCCGCTGGCATGCGATGAAGCGTACTGGGAGTTGCCCGATCCTGCGCAACCGCCCGGCACGCCGTCTGTCAATGCATATTTTACAGCCTACTACGAGCTGGTGGTGCTTTACGAACGCATCCAGCAGGTAGTCGTATGTGGAATGCTCCCCCCCCCCGTTCCAGAAGCAAAGCTGATTGAGTTTGTGTGTGGATAGTATCCAGCGAAAGCCGACGTCACAAGTTGTGGGAATGAAGCCGTGGCAGAATTAGAGTGCGTCGCTGCCCCCGTTGATTCGGGCCTTGTCCTAATGAGTGCAGTTTAGCTCTTAACGCATGGGTTGATCGCATTCCCCTCCACCGTATGCCGAATCATTCTCGTCCACTCACTGTATTTTGACGAGTTGATTAGTGAAATGGGATCCCGAGCAGAAAAACCAGATATTCTTAGACCAATCTGCATCGCTGTGTGTACTCTTTAAGTTTACCAGTGATTGTGCTCTGCTGATTCTCCAAGATATGCTTCTTATTATCATGGTCCGCAATCCATTATTCAGCATTGAATTTGTCCACTCTTGACGCGCTGTGTAGCCCAGATAATACTTCATCGCGCTTTCATTCCACCGCCAACATCTGCAGATACCATATCAAATAGAAATGTTAGTTTTCAAGCTTCGGTCGATGTTAGCTGAATTTTACAGAGCAACACGACTTTGCCGTCGCTAGCCATCTGCGCAAACGCTGCGCGCGCGTGTGGGCACATATGCGACGTCCAAGCAAAGCGCGGGCGAGGAGTCCTCCCGAGCGTTACTGTCATGGTCCGTCGCATTTCTACCTTGGAACGCCTCCTAATCATCGCAGCTTTCGCTCTTTGACGCTGCCGTCGTGCTGCTTGTCAACGTCTGGGCTGTCGTCGATGCAAGATCGGTTCGTCCGCACCATTGGAACGTTAACCCGGAGCCAAAAGGCTCTGACAGCGCCTTGTTGGACACGAACAGTTGTCTCCGTGTTCTGCGACTGTACGAGCGGAGATACCGTGTTGCGGGGCGGAACTGCGATGTCCTGGCGGCGCTGATAAACTACGGACGGATCACCTTGGAGGCTGCCGCGACACGCTCAGCAGGAGAGATGTCGCGCAAGCGCCGGCGCAGTCCCGGGACCGAGTGGTCTCCCCCGGACGCCACTGCTCCGTCAAACCTTTCTGTCTCGGACTCTTCGGCTACCTCGGCTGAACAGCAGATCGAAGCGCTTGTGCAGTCGCTGCAAGAAACAGGCCACCTGTTCGATGGGGTCCCTATGCACTCGACTGAGCTGGGCAATATGCCGATCTACTCCTCTTCATCGATCTTCGCTCCAAGCACCTCTCCTCAAATGCATCAAGATTTGTCTCTCGCCGCGCTAGACGAGCTTGGCCTGGAGCTTTTACCCACAGACCTTCAGTATCTCACCCAGCGTATATTTCAACCTACATCCATCAGAGCAATTCTCTCACCTCAATCCAGATACCGGTCAAGAACTTGAACTCACGCTGGATGTTGATGCACCTTGGTTCCATGCTCCCTTGGGACTAAACTACCCTCCGAATGCATTCAGGTTGGCCATTTCCTGTCCATTTTTGGTTCCTCTGAACCGTTTTCTAGTTGGGATGCATGGAACGCATATTTCATAGGTGTCGATGAGTTGAATCAGGAGTTCTTTTGAAGTACATGGAGGACTACGCAGTAAATTTCATTTTGCTTGCTTCCTATATCAAGAGTGAGCAATGCGACAGGAGAAATAAGAAGCGTACTTGTTCAACCGCCTGAGTGAGCACGCCCTTCAGCGCGCGGGCGAAGCTGATGAGCTCGAACGGTGCCGCCTTGGAGCAGACGGCGCACGGGGCCAGGGCGGCCAGCGTCTCTGCGGAGATGTGCCCGACCATCTTCGTGACCTCGTCGACGCTGGGTGTTGTTTCGCATTTGACCCTGCACCGCCGGATATGGTCGCGGAACCACTTCGCAGGGAAGTACATTCCGGCTTCCATCTCCTCGTCTGAGTCAGAATCGTCAGAGTCGTCCTCCTCGTCCTCATCGAACACCTTCATCGGGCCGCACTCCGCCGCGTGGCCTGCCCCCCGGTCCCACCACACGCCGCCAAAGGATGCTGGTGCGGACATCGACCCGCTGTTGGGAATCACCGTGGTATCCCATGCGTCCGCCGTGTGCCGAAGCTCCTTTGCCAGCCGGCCAGCACACTGTTGGCGGAAATTGTGCAGCTTCCAGTGGTGGAGGCCAGACATCAGGCGATACTCCGCGGGTGGCGGCCACACGGTGGAAAACGGTTCGCCTTTCTTGTCCAGCGACGCGATAGCAGCTGCCTGCGCGACATCTTCGTAGCCGTGGTGGCACGCAATCGCGAAGATGCGATGGGGATTGGCCTGAAGAAAGTCACGCTCCAACAATATAGCCTTGAGCTGGAAGGTGGCAATCGGGATGTCGTACTTCCTCGCTGCTTCCAGCGCCCCGTCGACGCCATTGAGGTTGATAGGCGCAAAAGCGGCCGACCCATGAGGGTAGAGCGCCAGCAGCAGCTTTTCGATGACTTTGTGGGGCTCAGGAAGCGGTATAACTGGTTTGCCGTCGTATATCGTGTTCGCATCCGCGCCGGACGGCGGAGGAAAAGCTTGCATGTTGCGGAAGAAGTGGGAGACGTAGCCGAGAATGGCCCAGTGGACATAGAAGCGGACGCCATCAGAGGACTGGATGATCGCGTCAGATGGCGCGTTTTCGTCGAAGCCGGGGCAGAACGGGGCAGCCGCGTCGCGAGTGGCTGATGTCTCGGAGGACATGATGGCGAGCGGCAAAGAAGGCGATGACGTGATGTGATGGCCGTGACATCAGCCGTGACATCAGCGAGGCTGTGTCACAGTGTCCCTCGCGAAAACGACATAAGTACCCTCCGAATTCAGGTAGGTGCTCGGTGTCCAGTTCTGGCAGCTCTGGTTCTCGCTTACTCTCAGTCAGTCATCCGAGAATCTCCAACGCTTTTCTATCCCGGCGGCGAATTCAAGGCTTCTGCGTACAAGTATACTGGCACTCAGGCTCGCCAGCAGCCAGCCTGAAAGCTACTATTAGTGTTTACTATAGTTTAGTAAGTGTTTCTAGCTAAGAGTTTCTACTTCCTCACCGGCTGGCTGCAGCTGGCTCACGACCCATTCAAGCCTTGTATTCAGTTCTGCATAACTGTGGATGCCCAGTGCGATGATCTCATCCGTTCTCGACACCACATTCATGGCCTCCTCCCATCGATGCCCATACTCCATATACAGTGCCCGAATCTGCGCCTCCTGCTCGCTGTCCGTTGCCACCGCCTCCGTCAGGAAGAACTCAAGGGGCATCTTATGCGGCGTCAAGACGCGCTGGAGTTCGGGAAACGTGACACCCAAGAACCACCCAACCGCGAGCGAGTTCGCAATGCGGGAGTTTTCCGTGTCGAACGACCGCAGTGGGCAGCAATTGCGCTCGGGCCATGCGGTACCGTCTGCTGCAGGCAGGGTCGACCCGAGGATGCCAAAGTCCGGCCACGATTCGGGAGCGGGGATGGTGGTGTCTACGGCGAGGGTGAGATCTGTGAGGTAAGCGCAGCTTCTCGCAAGTGCGTCGAGGCCAAGTAGCGTTGCGCGCGGGCCTGGGAACTGGGGAGGGGGTATAGAGGGTGGTCGGACTCCGTTGACACTAGTTTCCGAGTCGAGCGCAGAGCATGTCAGTCGTAGAGACGTCAAGAATGGCCATGATTGCGCGGCATCAGCGAGGAAAACATCGTCAACATCGACTCCGAAGGGCAGCCCGATGTCGAGGTGGCAGATATTTGTTGCGCGGAGTAAGGGGTGCAAACTCGTGCCGATGTGGGGAGACACCATGGACTGGCGAATGACAGTTGTGTCTGCCAGGACTAGTAGCTCGACGTTTTGGAGACTGGTTGGCTCGCAACGGTCAACGAGAAGACCGAAAATGTCCTTGAGATCCACTGGACTAGGTATCTCTTCGAAGACAGTTATTTCCACAACCTCCAGGGGTGCGCTGCCGCCCTCCCACGAGCGAAACAGATCCAGTAGTTGCAGAACATCTCCACCACATGACTTGTCAACCGAGACCTTCAGCTGTCGAAGGAGCGGAAACGGCAAACTGTGCTCTGGGACTGACTTGTAGGGTGCATGCGCCGCACTCGGAAGGAAAATGTCCAGTGTTTCCAAATGCTTGAGCTGTCCCAGTGCCTGTACCGCGGCTACATTGAGATTGGCGATAACAAGGTCCTTGGCTGCTTGAAGTTGAGGGATCAGGTTCGATATATGTTCCATGGCTGGTGGGTAAGCTCTTGCACTAAAGAGTTCACACTGCGTCAAAGACCCGAGATTAGGAGAACGATTGAGGGCACGGATGGCGCCGCTATCCGCATCGGGAAATGAAATACGAATCGAGCGAAGGAGGGGCCCAAGGAAGACGGTAAGCCATTGACTCCCGCATTCGTTATCGGGCACATTCCATACGAGCTCCCGCAGATTGGGGAAAATAGGAGCGCGGAACATTTCCCACAAGCCCTGGTGGGCATTGCGCAGGTTGATCAACACCAGATGTGGCCCCATACAGTGAAGTGAACAAGAGAGGACACGGATTCGTGGAACATATCGATGGAACGTTACAAAGTCGTTGTCGTTTGGGGGACGCCTGAAGACCTGCCAGACCAAAAACATCATTCATCGACTATTGTTTCTGATTCGAGCGGCACGTACCACACGCGAATTTGCATCCAGGCGCCAGAAATCGCTTGGTAGGAGCTTTATGAGATTGAAGATTGTGTGCTGCGAGAACCACAGGGCGTCCAATGCCTGCTCGGTGAAGTCGCGGGACGTACGCGCCAGCCGGGCGAGGCTTTTCTTGTCGTCGGCCGCGGATAGCTCGGAACATATGAGGCCTACAAGCTCAGCAGTCTCCAGCACACGGTGCATGGTGGGCCTGGCAGCAGCTTCGGCAGAGTCTAAAGAGGTCAGGAAGAAGTGACGGTTGGTCGTCCCACGCTGTCAAATTTCTTCCACTCTCCGTTTCCCTTCATCGCCCACCACAGGCTCACCATTCTTCGTTCATCGAATGACCCTCCCAGTCTCGAAAACATCTTTGAAGATAACGAGGAGGATTCCGTCAGCCCATCCGCGCTGGAAGGATAGTTGCCGCAAAAACACCTTTGCGTCAGTTATATCGGAGCACTACTATTCGCTCAGTCCGCTCTCCAGCTATCCTATGCTACTACAAGGTTGCTAGACCGAAGGATGATTTGCAGAAGAGCGCTTGGACACGGGTCTGCATGCCGGTGTACGTCAAAAGACCACATCTCGCAATATGTCTACTGACCAGTCCTCGTTCAGGCTCGGCTCGAACTCCGAGTATATTTCAATCAAGAAACCGACATAGCCTTCGTGCTGCTCAAAAGACGACCACATCAATGCGAAAACGATTAGACCTATCCTACCCTCTGGCTTTAGGTGCGTGGTGTCCCCTGCTTGCGGCTCTTGTCCTCGCTTACTCCCAGCCAGTCAATGCATCCGAGACTCTTCAACGACGTCCTTTCCTAAATTGACGGCCTCCACACGAATACCGAGAGCTACAGCCGGCGGGAAACTTGTGCGTGAAGAAAGTGTCGACTTTTCTTCGCTTATCTTCACATCTCTTTAGCTCTTCATTCCAGCTACCGCCTCCATCTGTGGCCCTCTTCCTCCATTTGACCCCAACACCGTGACACGCAAGCCACACAACTCCCACACATCGGCAATGCTCCTGCCTTGCTGCACTGCTGGAACATACCACAGTTATTAAGACCCGGCTTATCATACCTTCCCGACTGCTTTAAACTACCACCCGCCGAGTTCCCTGTCTCCACTACGCATACCCGCTCCAGCTACCACTATTCCCGTTGTCCGAAAATGGAAAGTCACGTGCCGCACTTTGCCTCGAAAGACTGCGATGTATCTCGAGGTACACAGGACGTGCAACCAAACCGAGTGGATCTCCATCTGGCATATGTCGAACTCGTGCTACCCAATTCTTTCCTCGCCGCCATTCTGCGGGGAAGGCCGTGGTTGGGCACGTTTTCGGCGGGGGCTTTGTGGGCGACATGGCCGTGGTTTGTGGGATAACGGGCATGATGTGCGCTGCCAGTCGAGGTGACCATCTCCACATCCTCATAGTTCATACTGCGCTTTACACTACCTAACTTTTTATTGTGATACTCTGTTTTCCCCGGGCCCGTTACCACCTAACCTGCCCACTTATCCCCTCTAGTTAGAGCCTCAGGGGGGGGTGAAGCTCTAACTAGAGGGGATAATGAATATCCGCTGTGTTTCCTTAAACTCCCTTCTGGATGTTAGTGGACAGGATGTTAGTGGACAGGGAGTCTTTGGGGGGGAAGGGGGGAGGCCGGCTGGGGGGAGCGGGCTGGGGGAGCGGGCTGGCCGGAGCATCAATGGATGATCACCGGATGACACGATGACAGCGAAGGTCATCATCGCTGTCTGCTGTCAAGTCCCGCCCTCTGCCCGCCCTCCCCCGCCCTCATCCCATCACTGCCATCAAAAGTTGCTGATGGCTGTTGATCTTGGGGTCGCCCATGGTCCCGCCCGCCGTCCCGATCTGATGGCGCATCAAAAAACGAAAGTTGTGCAGAATGCTCTGCTGATACCAAATGTACAAACCGTTTATCAATAGCTTGAGTAGTTAAGGAGATATAAGCCTTTTGATCTAGTGATGGATGAGTCTGAAGTTAGTAGACATCTTTTATATGGGATATTTGGAGGATTTTAATATGGTATGAGTATGTAGGGCAATTTATTATTTGGGTATCAATATGTAAGTCTCTATAGAAGGTGTTGGGACTGTCAGTAGTCCACTTATGATAATATAGTTAATCATGTCTACTAACTTCCCTAGCACAGAAGTTAGTGGACATCCTTCACCACTTTGGTTAAGAATGTAGCTGGTAGAGGAATAATATTGCCACTACAGACTAGAAGGTCTACTGGCATATTTTTTATGGCACTAAAGTCCTGGATTAATAATAGTTTAGTTGACCATGTCCACTAACTTCTGTGCACAGAAGTTAGTAGACATTGACGCGCTTGTTCACGGAGTGAACAAGAACTAAAAAGGCAAGTGCTATCAAAAAGCTCTGATAAGACTTATGCACCTAGCAGCCAAACTCTCAACACTTAAGGGACTTAAGCAAAGAGAACTCAGAGGGAGAACAGAGAGGAAACAGAGAGGCAGGCAGCAGAGAGAGATCAACAGGATGATGATTTGAAACTACTAAAACAGAGGCTTATATAGACTAAAGAACTAGGAGCTAGGAGCTCATATTAAGGAACAAGTCAAGGGAGAAACAGAAAGGAGCAGGAACAGACAAGGGAAATGAAAAACTAAGAGAACTAAGGCGGCTACCGGATATGGCTGCTGACTAAGCGGAGCGGTCACATGACAGGTGTGACGAGCAAGGCTCGTCACCTCCTCCCAACTGAAAAAATGACCGTCCGCGGTCATCAGAGTGGATATGATGGATGGTGGGAAAGTAAAAGTAGTGTGGGAAAGTGGAGGAAGTCGGAATTAATCCGAGTCGGAGTCCAAGTCAAGTTCGATAGGCCACTCGGGGATGTCACCAGCGGACATGTTGTCCCAGTCCAGAGAACGTGGGACATATGTTGGAGAGTTCGCACTAAAGAAGGGTTGGCAGGGTTCGTTGGCGTGGTAAGCACCTGGGCAGAATATGCAGGTGTCCAAAGTTGTATCGCCATCAGCTGGCAAGAGGTCCGGAAGCGAAGCCGTGGATAGTGCAGGGGAAGGAGACCCGTGGGTAGCCGTGATGGAAGCCCGGTTGATGTCCGCTCTGATCGCGAAGTCATCAATGAAGGTGTCGCCAGCAGGAGGCGTTGTGGCACGAGAACGCAAAGCAAGCTTTGCCTTGTGAGCTGCCACAATAGCTGCGGCTTCGTCGGGGTGGGCGTCGTAATACTGGACCATGCGGCTTTGAATAGTGGGGCCGCGGATGTGTTTGGGGAAGTAGCGGCCACCCGGGAGCTTGTAGCGGCCGTTGGCATCAAGCTCGACATAGCCGATGTCAAGCTGGACTCGACTGGTGCGGCATTCAGGCTTGCCGTGGCCAGGAAGACCACAGTAGGGGCAGGTCAGAGTTCGGGGCTGTCGGCCGGTGCCAGGTGGTGCGGAATCAGGCACAACTCGGGACGGGAGGCGGGCTTGGCGTTATCGACTGAAGGCGTTCAAGTTCGGCAGCCACTTGTGCGCACAGGTTCGGGTCTTCCGCAAGCTGTTGCGCAATGGAGCGGCAATCGCGGGAGCGCTGGCGGAAGCGGGCGGTGATGGCAGAAGGTCGTGGGGAATAGAAGCGGGGCATCGTGGCAGCAGCGTGAGTTCGTGTCAGCGTCGTGGCAGCGTCGTGGGTCAGCGTCGTGGGTCGGCAGCAGCAGCAGCAGCGTGGGGATCAGCAGCGTGGGGGTCGTAAAACTGTGTATTACTTTCAGGGTCAGAGTATTTATTGCAACAAGGTATTGGATTATCTGCTGAGGGGTGGTGTCCATCCTATCTTGAGGAACCAGGGCAGGGATCGAGTTCTGGCAGCAGGGGCATCGAGGCTCCTCCCAACTTACCAATGACGTCATCCTGGTTCCACCAGCGCAGGTGGAACTCGCCATCAGGCAGTCGTGGGAAGTCATGCTAAATTGTGCAAATTTCAAAGGTCTTCATCAGGATCACTCATTGCGGTGTCCTCCAGCTCTCTCAAGCGAGCAGTGGAGATATCCAGGAAGTCCTCAAGGGGTGGAAGAGGGATGGCCGATCTAGGGAAATAAGGAATCACGCGGAAGGCGGCAGTTGGCCGATCAAATACCGCTCCATCCAAATTCGGCAAGGATGTAAGCGCCGCCCCGATTACGCGAAATCACGAGCAGCGGGCCCATGTAACGATCACGCATCTTTAGTCCAATCGACTTGTCAATTGCTGAATTTTTCATTAAAACCAGTAAGCCGGGCTTAAAGTCGTAGTTGTGTATTGTGGCAGCGTGATCACGCTCAAATCGTCGCGCATCCTCCAGTCTAGCTTCAAACACGCGGGAGTGCAACTCGGCTAGCTGTTCTCGGCGCTTCTGTAGCGTGATTGCACGCCTTGCGATCAGGGCAGTGGTGGAGAGGGTCGATGTAGGGGGAGGAACAAGGTATGACGCTTCCGTGATGTCGAGGGGGGAGTAGGGGATGTGTGCCAGTAACGGCGAAGTACGGTGAGCAACCCATGCGGCGTCGCACTGTGCATCGTTCAGCCCAGAAGACACTGTAGGCAGACATTGCCCAGCGCTTTTCATCACCATCAGCAGCTTTGAACAGTGCTTCGCGGACATCGAAATGTGCCCGTTCGACCAAGCCGTTGGCGCGTGAGTTGTAGCCGGAGATTCGGATATGTCGTACGTGGTATTTGCTTTCCAGATGTGTCAACGCTTTGACGAAAGGCGTGCCGTTGTCGGTAACTATCTCTAGGAGTGTGCCCCAGCGGCACAGGATGTCTTGGAAAATCCAATCGGCAATCGCGGCTGCCGATTCGCGCCGCAACATGCGGAACTCGGGATAGTTCGTCAGCGCACAGCGCGCCTGAACGATGTAGGCGAAACCGTTGCTTCGTGGCATGTGCATGGTGTCAATGTGAACGCGGGAGAAGATGGGCGGAGGCGCCGGAGACCGTTGGAGGGATAAGAAGTCGCTGCGTTTTGCGGATTTGGCACAAGTGGCATGTCTTTACATACCAATTGATGTCGTTAGCCATATATGGCCACCAAAAACGCTCTGAAACCAGCGCGCGAGTTGTGTGGAACCCTTTGTGGCCCACGTCGTCATGTGCGGATTGAAGTATATAGAGTCAACGTTCAGTCCGAACCACCTGCTTGTGGTTTCCATGACTATCTTTGCGCCACAGGTGGTCGTTGTGCACGAAAAACTCAACAGAGTACTTCATGAAGGTGTTGTATTGGTCGTCCGTGATGTCGCGTGGTCGTTTGAGGGCTTTGTGCCACCAGCGGACCCATTCAAGGCGCGCATCAGCGACACGGGCCGAGTCAGAGCGCGGAATCTGGTCGTAGGCCAGCGCAGGCGGCGGATCAGCAGGGTTCGGTACCGCTTCCGCGGCAAACGTTGCAACCAGCTGTTGTGGGCGTTCAGCATACGGTGAGTCGTTTACCATGTGCATGAAGCCATAAACTTGATCTACCCAGTCGTCGAAGTCGTCTGGGGGTTCCGGCTCGTCGTGGGGCTGCGCGGGGCGTCGGGAGAGGCCATCGGGGCCGTGGTGGTCGCCAGGGACATGTACCAGAGTAAAATGGAAGGCTAGGATTGAGATAATCCAGCGGTTGATGCTGGCGCTCGGTTCCAAGTCCGGATTTGCGAGCATACCTTTTATGTAGCGGGCATCAACTTCAACCACCAGATTTCTCAAGCCCACTAGATGAATTTTGCAGGCGCGAAGCGTTCGGAACAAGCCATATATCTCCAGTTTTGCCTGAGAAAATCGAGCCTCGCGGTCGTTTAGTGTTATCGAACCAAAGCGTGAGTAAAATCGGCGTGCCAGGTTATCGGGGTCGCACTGGGAAAGCAAGAAGCCAATCGCGATGTAGGATGTGTCGACTGAGAGAATAATCGGTGGTGCATCCGGGGAGTAATCGAGAGGGCGGAGAGCAGGGGAGTGAATGAGTGCGAGTTTGAGGTCGTCCTGTGCCGCAAGCTGTGCCGAACCAAAGGTGAATGGGACACCCTTTCGAGTCAGTTCAACCAGAGCGTGCGCGCGGTGGCTGAAGTTCTTGATGAACATTCGGCACACACCTACCGTTCCCAGGAAAGCGCGCACGTCGGACAGGTTCTTACAAGGGCCCCAATTCACAATCTTTTCAACACGAGACTTATCGGGGATTCGACCGCGGGGCGTGCAAACGTGGCCAACAACGGTAAATTCTTCGGCGCAAAGTACTAACTTTTTACCAGAGAATGTCCCGCCGCAGTACTTCATTCGTTGCACAATTCGATTGAGGTTGTTCATGTGCTCCCAGACGAAGCGGCGGATGTTGGGGTTACCATGAATGGTCTCAAAGGAGCCGTCTGCGAGGCGGTACTGAGTGGCTGGGCCGCGAACGGGCACGTCGTCGATGAACGGTTGCGTATAGTGGGGTATTTCGTCCTGGAGAATAAATGTTACGTCGTCGTGGAATATGGGGACGGAGTTCGTCCATCCCATGGGCAGAGTAACGAGTCGGAGGGCGCCGAAAGGCGTTTGGAAGGTTGTGTAGTCGCGGGAGGATGTTGCCAGTAGTCGTTCGTCATAGCCAACATAGAGGTCCAGTGTTGCACCGCACGCGCGGCCAGCGAAGCTCTCCGCAAGTTGATCAGTAAATGGAGGGACCCCGGAATGTTGGATCGTGACTGCGTTGAGTGGTTCGAGGGAGTGGACAAGCCGGAGGCTGCTTCCGTCCTTCTTGACCACACAGAACCAGCGAGATCGGTAGGCAGAATTTGAGGGCTCGTAGACACCTGCGGCGATCTTGGTCTTGATGACGTCGCAAACCTTCTGGTAGATGCCCGGCGGGATCGGAATGTTGCGTTGCACCCAAGGCGTGTGGGGCATTACCGGCATATCGACTGGCGGGAAGAAGTCGGTGCGGAAACTGCCTCGCTCCGAGTCTTCCCAGGCAAAAGCTCCGTTCTGCAGGCACATAAAATGGTGCAGAAGTTCGCGTTCCGTTGGCCAGAGAAAGTCGCTAGCGTGGGCAGCGTCGAGTGCATCACGGCGTTCGCGTGTGTAACGGCCAGTCGGCTCGAAGGGCGGTGGATTCGGGTTGAGTGCAGGCATGTCAGCGAGCGGGTCGCCAACAATGTTCCTCACGATGCGGAATTTTTCGGGCAGAGCATCAAGTACGGGCCGTATTTTCTTAGAAACTGGTTTATATTTCCGATTAGCGAATACATTAGCGAGTGGAGAGATTTGGGAAGGCGCCGGAATAATTGGGGAAGGGGTAGAGTCGGGGAAGCTGGGCCGTCGTGGATCAGTAGCGCGCGACGGCGGCAGGTATCGCGAGTGAGAAGAGATAGAGAAGATGGGCAGGAAGCCATCGCCGGGAGCGGCGGCAGTGAGGGAGGCAGGGTATGGCGGCAGCAAGGGGCCGTCCGTGATTAGGGTAAAGGCTGGTTGCGCTAGGTAGTGCGCATAATGTACAGTGTCGTGGTCGCTGCCTAAGTTCTCGCACGCGGCGAGATAAGCGAGCTGAACATGTTCGCGGGTGTCCGATTCGAGTGTCTTGTGTGCCGAGATTTGAAACGTGTCCGAGCGAGCGTCGTGGTCGATAACCAGCGCTATACTGTCAGCGGCGCTCAGTGCTTCATACGTGAAGACTTGAGCTTGAGAAAACCCTCCTTTGTCGAGCCACGCGGGATGGTCGGGACAGTTGCGGTTCGGCCAGTGTTGGGGTCGCGGATCGTAATCGTCTGGTCATTGTTGCTGTAGTTGTGGACCACAGACTGCGTGAGAACATCAAAAGGACGCCCGAGCAGGACGTCGTAGGCGGGATTGCGAACTATATGGACTTGGAGGTAGAGCACGATGTCGCGCAACGTAAACGCGACGTTGCGAGTGACGCCAAGCGATGGGGTAACCGCGCCGTTGGCGGACTGCATCTGCAGCACGATGGTGGGGTCGTATTGGAGAGCGAGGCGGTGGCAGAGAGCTTCCGACATCGCACAGATTTGCGAGCCGGGGTCCACAATGGACTCCACATACTCTTGGTTGTCAACTATCGGGAGGATGCAGCGGATGGCAGTGGTTTCGGCGGAAGTGATGACACCTGTGGTTGGCAACATTTGTCAACTGCACTCAATGCACCCAGCCAAACCGGTGTCAAATCCGCTAGCTCCTGTCAGGCTGACCCCAGCTAGTGCATTTGTCAAAGTACCCCCCACCTACACCTCCTTCTCATCAACAGCTTAAACGGCTTATTTCGGCTCTGGGCCCACATCAATGACATCAAACGATCAAAATCCTGTTAAGTACTAATACAGCATCATTAACTCTAAGTCCTAATCCAGAAGATAACTAATCTTCGCCAACTGACGTCATCGTTGTCAGTGGCTCCACTACTGCTGCCGCACGAATAGCCGCCACACCTGAAGTGCCCCAGCTTGCGCGAAATGCCTCCTCGACCCCCCGATAGATGTATGCTTGGCGCTTAGCATACGCTGTTAAGCCCGCTGCCAACTCCTCGTCCACGTCATCTCGTAACTGCTCTCGTTCCTTCCACTCTCTTTGCACAACCTCGACACTCTTGATAACGCGACGCATCTCCTCCCGCAAGAGATGTACTTCTTCAATCCATCGGTCGTGTCGAGCGCGTGACTTGGTCCATTGCACGCGGACCGCTACCAGAAACACGATTAGCTCCTGAATGCTGGCGCAGTCAAACACCCACAGTCATGTAGTTCCTCTTTATCAGCCTCCCCACCTGCAAACCATATCCACGACACAGGCAACATCTTCTTTGTCACGGACGGTTCATTTCGCGCACGCCTCGTTGAGCCTAGCTTCCCCAAAGCTGCCCGCGCCTTGGCATCGCTCTCCGATTCGACATGTACCCGTAGATCTTCATCGCGCAGCTCCCGGAACTGTGGCGCAAACTCGGGGCCCTTCAGTCGCAACAGGGCTAATCTCGCCTCTCGATATTTGTTCGCTTGACGCCGAGCCTGATCCCCCACCCTGCCGATTAATGTCCCAAACCTGGTGCTCGAGCTTTGCCCAACCGCATTCGCATTGCGCGTATCGATTAAGTGGGTCTTCGCATGAAGATGCCCACGGATTTTGCCCAGAGCATCAGCGCACTGCCCTAGTCGGAGTTGGGCTTCTATCTCCACCAATGCGGGCCTGCAGATAGCCTTCGCGCTGCTCCACCGATAGGTCGCTTGGCAGCCAAAGCTTCGTTGTTTCGGCAGGTGGGGGAGGAAGGTCGGCATCGCGTTTCTCCTCCTCCGCAGAGCGCAATTCTTCCACACCTGGCATGAATACCATTTGGTGCGTCTCCAATGTGCGCAGCTTCTTGAGGACTGCCACACGTAATTCGTCCAGCTGACTTGAGCGCTCAGCAGTCAAAGTCATCGTCCCGCTTGCTTCAAAACGAATACGGCGTCTAGAGCATGCTTCAGCCCATCGCTAGATGGTTAAAAAGGTGTCAACTCACTGTTGGTCTTCGAGTTGTAGTGCACCCTTGATAAATGCAGCAGCTGTTGTTCTACCCGCTCCCAATTCACTTCCGCGTCCACTGCGCAGTTGCTCCAATTCCGACTTCTTCAGATCTGCAAGAATCTGTGCCTCTGAAGGTCCCGCTGTATACGAAGCAGTGAGAGCCGGTTATAGACAAGACTACACACACATACCGTGCTTCGCGTCTGAAAGGTAAGGATTCGGGCACGTTTTATCCGCATTCCAAGCGTCAACTTTGAGCTGCCACTCTTCTCGCAATGAGGGCTCGAGGCTGTCGTCCACTTGGTTGAACTCTCTGACTTGCTGATCACGCTCTGCCAAAGCGATGATCATTTTCCTTGCCAATGTATCTCCTGCATCGTTGGTAATCAGTTTGGTGAAACCGAAGTAATAATCGTCCCGACCTTGCTTGACGTTCTTCTCAAAATTGACGTGATCGACCTTGTCTTCAATCGTATCATGTCGGTTGCCCTCTCCCATCTCCTTGGTCGAGAACGCGATGGGGTTCAAGATCGCCCATGTTCTTTCAATACCCTCTCCGTCTGTCCGCCCAACGCCGACTGCATGTGTCAAAGAATTTGCCGCTTGACAACTGGATTCATGAGCAACAGCGTGCCAAACAGGGAGCGCGAATTGCAACGTGTAGTCGTCTAGTTGCGTCGTGACAAGTTCCTGGTCGTGGAGTTTTTTCGCTCGCTCTCGAATGTGTTGCTGCCATTGGCACGCGATATCGTAGGACACAACGAGTCGCTTTAAGCCCGCGCCACCCACAGCGTTGAGGAAAATCCAGTCCATATTCGCGTAGCTGCGGCTAATCAGTAACAAAGATGGGCGGCACTGTCAAACGTACCGCTCCCCCTTCTGCAAGTCCCCTAGTCCCAATGGTCGAACAAGTCCGTGGCGAGCACAGACACAGCCGCCGACACCAGATACCCTAAGGCCCGTTGTAAGCCTCGTTTCCTTCTGCATCAATGCCGCGAAAGCAATACAAGTGCTGACCTGGTAACTGTCAGCAATGTGAAAGAAAGCAAACGATGATGCATACATCTTCTTCAGCAACGTAGTGCCGAAGATGCTCCTTGTACTGATTTAGCTCCACGAAATAACCGAGACCACTTCCTAGTGAAGGGTCATTGCGTTCGTTCCCTCGAATCCGGTTCTTCAGGCGGAAGTTCGCGTCGAGGGCCAGCATTAGGGAGTACAGATATCTGGTGGTCAATCAACAAAGCTTAATTGTAACGAGTTCAAGAACACATACGATTTGGACTTGTCGACCGTGTCCCAGCCCTCCGGCAAGTTGCGATTGGGATCAGGGCATGCCCAGCAATGAACAGCCAGGCCACCTGCAGGGATATCTGCCAAGCCCTCTTTTGCGTGCCCGCGTCCGGCCCGTTTGGCACGAAGAAGGAAATCGTATTGTCGACTCATCCTTCCGAAAGCCTTGTAACGATCCTTGGGTTGTTAGGGTTAATTAGGATTAAACAGAGATGAATTATGACTTACCGGAACCTGCTCAGTAAACGTTGCGTTCGTCATCCGCTCCAGGGACCCCACAAAGTCATGCGCGTTCATATTCCCAACGACCTTGAGTGTTCTGAAGAGATCGAGAACTCGGAATGTCGCACACGTGGCGGGCTCCATGGTCGTCGCTGGGTACCAAGCATTGTCTAAAAGCTGAGACAGATGCATGTGTTTGTGGCGCAGACTAGCGCTACAGGCGCAAAACCTTGTGAATCATCAGCATGGTCTGGTCTGGTGCGACCAACGCTACTGACCTCACATCCACCTTGAAAATGCCTCCCACATCAATGACGACCAGTGTTCGTACTCGCGATTCGGGATACGGGCACGGAAATCCATGGTGGCCAAGCTGGTACACCATTCCAAGACCACTGCGACTGAAAAGTGTCGATTTACGCCAAAAGTCTGTCCAGACCTGGACCCAGTATCAGTCAATACTAACGAGCTTTTTAGAAGAAGGCCGTACTTGGGGAGAATGCAGAGGTAACTGCTCGTGTCGACTACGCAGGCACTCCTCGCAATGAATGGATGGACCACATTCGGTGCAGCGAAATGCGCGTGAATTGGAGCCCTCGCCGAGCGACTCCCCACAAGCGGCGCACGAAGGGCGAGTGCCATGTCTCCCCAGTGTTTCCCCTCGTATAAGTTCGTCAAGGTAGGCGCGCATCATCGGGCGCCAAAGAGCCATGGGGTCATCCTGCAGAGCTATCTAGTCAGACTAATGATAACAAAGGAAAGATGACACACCGAGGCCGTGCGCTTGCGCTTTCCTGCGTGCTGGTCATCCTCCAATGGCTGAGGTTCTGACGATATGGTCAGCGCGATGGCTGCCAGCTCTTCGTCCGCCAGGTCCAAGAACGGCATCCATTCTGCCAGGTCCTCGGTTGCTTGAACCCGCGTAGCTGCGGTTGGCGCGAGATTGAGAAGACGAGACGAAGTGTTGCGGCCACTGGTGAGAAAGTGTACGCTGGTGTCGCCTTGTACTTGGCTGGGCGGAAGGCCGCCCACATGGAACTTTGGTTTCCTCTTGCGCTGTCGGGACATTGAGTGAGGGAACAACTAAAGGCAAAAAGCGAGCCCCGCTCACAGTAAGATCCCCTTGTCGTTTTAGAGAAGAAGACGCGTGTTGACGATTTGATCGTCACGGTATGTCACATACACTGATCCGAATTGGACCGATCATTTGGGAATCGTAATTTACAGCTCAACTACGAAAACAGTCCTTGTCGGTCAAAGCTTAGATTTATAAACGGGCTGGTGGCGAAGCGTCTGCTTCTTCTCGCTGAGGAGAAGTTTTTTATCCCTGAATCCAAGGTCAAAATGTGCGGAAGGAGAATTTCGAATACTTACTCTGCAGCATCGGCCCAAGCTGTTTCGATCAGCTCACCACATGTGTAGGAGTCCATCATAAGGGTTCGCGTTGCTGCTACTGCCGGCGCGTGCCAAGGCATGGTGAGATACAACAGTTCTGCGTTCCAGAATCGGAGAAATTGGCAAGAGATGTCGTAAGTTGTCGAGATGAATCCCTTGGTCAAATGCGCAGAGTACCAGTGCTGCCAGTGGATACCTGGAAAGTATTGCTCTCCAAGACTCAAATCGTGTCGACGCGAGTTGGTAGAGATGGGACGCGGGATTGAAGCCTTTGCGAGGGCCCGGGCGTGGGCTACTGGTAGTGTCAAGCTTGAACCTTGGGCGAGGAAGCACACACACCTTCCTGTTGGGGTTTGGAATGGTCGACAGTAACCAATGCCATCTCGTTTTGTGAGGGAAGGAGGCAAGAATCTTGGTCTCCCCCCGGGCCCGTTTTCATCTGTTTTCATGTAGTTCCGCCAGGAAACTTTCTTGGATGAAACGTGTGCCCAAGTAAAGTGGTCATGTGTGCGCAGGTTGCCGGGCCGATTATATATCAATTCACACGTTAACTCTAAATTCTTAATTCAGGAGAGGTCTTGGCGCGATCTACTCTATACATCATGCGACTCTAGCACGGGGAAAGCGGACATTCGACCAGTCCATCTTCACTTGGGTGAAATCATAGAACCCAACGTACAAGGCAGTTATCTCCCGTTTCAACGGCAGCAGCGGCAGTGGTGCACGATACTGTACTGCACCGCAGTCAGGTATTGGGCAGTGCCAAGACTTGTTGAAATGCAGTCGCGCGCAAACGAAGCAGAAGCTGTGACTGCACATGAAACTGTTCAGTTGTCAGGTCAAGACGCTGCGGTAAATCATTGAGCACGTACAGAACAGGATGAGACTTGAGGCGTCGACAGAGTTTGCATTGATGGTTTTTGTCCAGAAGCGCGTCGGCGAACGGAGGAGTCGTATTGTCGTCCAGATACAGCTCACGACGCGTGACCACCACAGCGTATGGGGCGTGCGCATCGTTATCGGCCAGACAGTCCAGTGCGGCGGTAATACAGCATTCGCGCAGATATGCGGTCCGCTCCTTCTGCCTTGTAGCCTCGAGTTCTGCGTCGTTGTGCCGTTGTTCGTGCAAGATGGGTGCATCGGCATTGATGACCGCTTTGAATGCGGCGTGGGCCATTCGAGCGAAGACTGCAGGTCCAGTATCAACTCGCAATAAAGATTTGAGGGCTTTTTCTGGAGAAAGGTCAGCCAGCGGCATGTATGTAATGGAAGCCGCACGCTGGATTCCTGGGCGCTCTGAGTTTGCCCGAAGTAGTGAGGGCGGTGGAGCTGCGAGCCTCTCGATGAATGAACGGCCTGGTCGTTCATGCAATGCTGAGTTTGTTGTCAGCGTCAAACGTCTGCAAAGAAGCCAAGTGAATCACGGGAAGGCGAATCGGGAGTGCGTGGCCGCTTGCTCAACGCTTTTGCAATAGCAGGGGTTGTTGGGAGCTGGCCTTCAGTGAGCGGGTTGTTTCGACCGCCAGGAAGCTCTAGCGTCAAGACACTTTCAGTTAGCTGGGACGTGGAGATGCGAGTGAGTACTGCTCACCAGAATCTGAAACCGGACTCGTCATCACTGCTCGATAGGTCGAGCTGGTCAGTCACCACGTTGGCCTCGTCCATAGCGTCAATGGAGGATAGCGAATGTCCTATTTAACTAATCATCACCGATTCATAATAAAAAGAAGCCACCGACCTTTGGGTCCCTCATCGCTGTAGTCGCTGCTACTGTAGTCGGGTTCCGAGGAAGGAGGCAGTGGAGAAGTACCCCGACGATGGGACATCGACTCCAAGTGGCAGGGATGTCGTTGTCGCGTTGAGAGAAGATATAACGTGTGACGCCTTGTTTTATATGGCACAATTTCGGTCGAAATCTTCCGGATTTTCAATTTGCAACGCAACCATCTCTAGTATAGGATGAGAAAAAGTTCAATTCAAAACGTCTTGGCTGGTTACATCGTGTTGGTGGTACAGTCGTCGATACACCTGTTTCTGCCATTCTGCATCACAGTCCATCCTTGCAGATCGCGGATCTCGTGTGTTCCATTGCTGCGTATCCAGAAAGATAGGCCGAAGCGGCGAGGGCCCGGCGTTTATTGAGACAGAGGGACCGCAGCCACAGCGTCATACCAGGTCGTTATCGAGTGCCGTTTCGGTCCGGAGATATAACGCTGCTCGACATTCCTCGCACTCCGTACCCAACAGTCGGCGTCATCCGCTGTCGGTGCAGTAAGCATTGGCGCATTCAATTGCGAGACTAAGAGTTGTCGTTTTTGGACCTCGCTCAAGGTGAATTTGCCCAGGACGCGCAACGTGTCCAGTTGCTCTTGGGAAGGGGGGGGAAACACCACGAGGCAAATCTGCCTTTTCGCTATGCTCATAAGAAAAGACTTCAACAATGCCAAAGCGGCAAGGGTTTGAGCACTTGCCTTTCGAGGATCGAAGACCGAGGTTGCATGAATCCGACACTACAAAAACAGTTACTGGCTTTATATTTGAGCGCACATATCACAGACTGAGTTGGAGAGTATGGCCAGAGTTCGGAAGGCGATCGCGGGCGCGAAAATGTCGAAGTCGATTCAAGGTCCAGGTTGTTCAGCACTTCAGCGATATCGATGGGCCGGTTGGAGTCGACTAAAACTGGCGGTGGTTGCGGTGGTAGCGCAGATGTCAATGTAACTGGTCCAGCTTGTGGCTCGGAACCTCCTTGGGAAAGCTTTTCTTCGACTCTTTCAGCAACGGGCGCCAAAGCGGCTTGTTCTTCACGTTTTGTTCGACGTGCCGCGAGAATCTGTAGTTGACTGGGCAAATATTAAGCACCCATGTGAGTGACTGGAGTGAGGAAACAGACTCTTTTTGCGGTAATAGGCTTTTGACGCATTGCGATGGACCTTCTGTCGTTCCTGCTTTGACTGACTGGAGGCAGTTAGTTGATAATGTGAGGGCAGGAAAGAGACAGGACACACCGTTGGTATTGGCGGAAACTTCCATCGCTGCTGTGTTTGCGTTGAAAGGCCATTATCGTGGGGGGAAACAAGGTGTGACCATGCTTGTCAAGTACTCTTTCTCGTCATTCTGCAACACTGGCTTTCGACTTATCGCCGCCCGGTGCCGCAAGATTTGGCTCAAGGAGCTAGTGTATGCATAGAACAACTGTTTCATATGGATATTCTGCACGATGGAGAGCTTGGTGCGCTGGGAGAGCCGAAAAAGGTGGAGTCTGAAAAACCAAAATGATTCCTTGGCTCAAATAACGCTCAGAATGTCCTCTTGGTTACCAATAGATGCTATCTACGTTTTTATTTTGAGCGGAAATGCTATGGGGGGCTCTTGAAATTGCTTCCACAGGGAGGAGGTAAGAAGTCAATATTTGACGGCAGGAAGGCTAATGTGAGCTGGAAAGATGTTATGTCGTATTAGGAGTCATGCAATGTCCGAGCAATAGCTTCGTAGAGGGTGTAGAATAGTGTGTTCATGCCTGCAACCTCGTTCGACGGCTGCATAGGATCAGGGGCTGACATTACCAAATTAGGCTCAGCTGCAGGCAAATGATCGTCGTCTGTCGACCAATCCTCTCGAGGGAGCGCGTAGAGTATATAATATTGTCCAAGTTTGTAGGAAACAAAAGTAAATGTAAGCACTCCGCTACTCGGAGTCATATCCCCAATGGATCGGAAAGACACGAGTCCCGTCAGGGTGATGAAGGTTCTCCGCGACCTCGTACGGGATGAAATACATCCACCCATCCATTTTTCGCGGAAGCTGGTTGAGCTGTTGCAGCGCCCTACAGAAGTTCAGTTTCCAGCGTCCAAAGGCAGAGTTTGACCCACCAGAAAATGATACCGTGGACAAGGGGCCCGTCCTCGACATGAATGTCAACGAGTGGACTGGACCACAATTGCGTTCGCAGGCGAGCCAGTTCCGCTGGGGATGGAGGCTCGTCCAAACCGTTATCCGACTCCGATCGCGCGATCGGAGTATGGCGCACCACAAGCACATTCCCGAGAGGTGCGCGAGCCCCATCTCGAGCATCCTCCTCTTCTGGCAAGATGGCCTCGATCGCGGCGTTGGTGGAGAAGAAAGGACTGTTTCAATGTCATAGAGAGCCTACTAGGTACCTTCCACATTTTTCAAGGGATTCATTGAAGATAATATACATGCCATATCCATAAATGCATGGAAGTTAGTGGTCTTAATCCACTACTCTAGTCAAGGAGAATCTGGGGCAGAAATATATGACATGGTAGGCTATGGAATATCTACTAGCATGTTTTGCATGCATGCTATAGCTGGCAATAACTAGGGCAGTAAACTTACTCCAGGGCCTTGCAGAATGCATAGTTCCTACTGCTATACATTCATTACCAATTACCTGACCAAGTTGAATAACTTTGGAGACCATTTTATTAGCTACTCAATAGTCCAAATGCATGTCACAGGTCTTTAATCACACATAACAATCATATATACCTAATACCCTGAAGTTAGTAGACAATAATTAAACACATTGTAACTCAGGAACCGCTGCATCAATCCAAATGAATGAAGTATGTAATGAAATATCTCATCTAGCAATGTATTTATAGATGTTCTCCTGAGACTCCTTGGGGATATATGTAGCCAAATACTTA